ATGTACCCAGAAAGTGAAGCTGCAACAATTGTATTTTCCACTTCTATCTCAGAAAGGTTTATAAGGGAAAACACTTAAGGCATTTAGAATCTATTTCAAACAAAATACCCATACAGAACATGGCTGAATTTAAGATAAGTTTAAAGACCAGGTTGATGTAGCCATTTGGATATTTTGACCAACTGACAAACAGGAAGTTGTTTGACTAACTTCTCTCAATAAACTGAGAAATGATCATTTGCACTGGCAGTGATAAGACCTATAATTACATCACAATGAAAGAGACATCCTGGGGCTGTTGCTGTGGCTAGCAGGTAAAGCTGCCATCTGCAGTGGGGCATCCCATACGAGTCCTGGCTGCTCCTCTTCCGATCCAGCTATGGCCTGGGAAAGCAGTGGAGAATGGCCCGAGTCCTTGGGCCTCTGCACCCATGTGGGAGACCTGGAGGAAGCTCATGGCTCCTGGCTTCAGATCAGCCCTGGCTGTTGTGGCCATTTGGGGAGTGAGCTATAGGATGGAAGACCTCTCTCTCTCTCTCTCTCGCTCTCTCTCTCTCTCTCTGCCTCTCCTTCTCAAATAAATAAGTGAATCTTATAAAAAATAAAGACATGCTGTGCACTTCTAGAAAGCAAACGAAGAACAAAGGTAGCAACATCTGAGAATGTTTAGTGAGTGACCTGGAAAAAAAAATTTGAAAGGTAGAGTGACAGAGAGGGACACACACACAGCTCTTTGATTTCCTTATTTACTCCCCCAGATGCCTACAACAGCCGGGACTGTTGACCAGGCTGAATTCAGGAAACAGGAACTCCATCCGGTTTCCAAGTAGGTGGCAAGAACCCAAGCACTTGGGCCGCCATCTGCTGCCTCCCATGCACATTAGTAGAAAGTTGGATTGCAAATGTGGAGTAGCAGGGACTCCAATCAGCACTCTGAAATGGGATGTGGGCATCCCAAGTGGTAGCTTAACCTGCTGTGCCACAGCACCCGCCCCGTGTGTGACTTTTTGAAGATGTTACAGACTCTGCAAAATTGAAAGCCTTGACAGCGAGGTTAATTCCTGGAGTCTGCGATCTGCTGCCTAGACCAGCAATCGTGGCATAGCGGGTCCTCTCCAGATGGATGTTCAGAGTGCTTTAGAGAAAGCACTGGCACATGGCAGACTGTTAAAAATATCTACTCACTTGTGCGATTGCTTCTTTTTGGAAAAAAGTAATTTTAGCAATAGATCACGACACATGTGAACCATGGTGAGAAAGCTCTTTAACAAACATACGTCCTGACAGTTGACAGCCTAGACCATAATTTTCCCTCTTACCAGCAGCTTCCCTCTGGCACAAATGAGAACTCCTAGGGAGCAAGACTGCAAGTCTAAAAGGATACAGTTTCAATTGGTAACTTCAAAAATATCTGCATTTCTGCTATAATTTTTGGTGATTCCCTCTGTAAGGAACTCAGCCTGACGGACGGAGGTGACGGAAACCCTCTGCCCACACAGATGGGTAGATCTGTTGAAGCAGAGGAAGTTAAATTCGAGTACCCTATTCCCACAAGCTACCGGAAATACTGGAGTCCATGCCGGCCTTGGCCTTACACTGTACTTCTGGCTTCATGAGATATGAGTGATCTTCAGAGTTCATGGAAAATGAGTTTTTAAAGGTTTTTTTTTTTTTTTTAAATGGATTTTTTAGTTTTTCTTTGGGGGGGTGGGTACCAAAATAAACTTATCTTTTGATTTCATCTTTCCATGAGCTTTCTGAAATACTCTTGCATATATATTCTAAATAATGATGATTTTTGAATCTAGATCTCAATAGGTTTTATGACTGTCAACTTTATGGTCTTTATGGTTTGTATTACAAATTGTTTGTATTACACTTGTAATACAAACCACCAAAACTATTCAGGCAGATTTCTCACTAATTCTAGAGCATCTGATATTGTTGTTCTCTTAGTAAAATTCCCTATGGTAAGAAAAGCTGTTGAGGGGCTGGTGCTGTGGCGCAGTGGGTTAAAGCTGCAGCCTGCAGCGCTGGCATCCCATATGGGTGCCAGTTTGAGTCCTGGCTGCTCCACTTCTGAGCTCTCTGCTGTGGCCTGGGAAAGCAGTAGAAGATGGCCCAAGTCCTTGGGCCTCTGCACCCACATGGGAGACCTGGAAGAAGCTCCTGGCTCCTGAACAGATCAGTTCTGGCCATTGTGGTCATTTGGGGAATGAACCAGTAGATGGAAGACCTCTCTCTCTCTCTCTCTCTCTGGCTCCACCTCGCTATGTAACTCTTTCAAATAAATAAAATAAATCTTAAAAAAAAAAAAAAAGAAAAGCTGGAGTACATGCATAAATATTTTTTCTTATGATATACTTGTCTCTTGCCCCATGGTCTTCACATTCCAAAGACTCTGCTGGCAGCAAATGTACCAACACAGAAACAATTCTGGAAAGATTATGGGCAGCAGGAAGTCCCACATAAAAAGAGACACAGATGGCTAGTGTCATTGGTAAAATTGAGCAGAGATTTCTTTAACCTAGTCAAAGGAAAACTGTACCAAATCCACAGACCTGGCCTGCATCTCTGTTCAGGGGCCAGGCAAGCTGGGCCCTCTGGAAGGTCATTGTTTTGGTAAGACTCTTCTGTTTTTGGAAGTCAATTCAGGCAACCAGGGCAACAAGGGATGGGGGGTGAAGAGAACAGATAATTCTGAGGTTACACATGGGGAGAGCAAATCACTCAAACTCATGGGAGCTGGAGGTATAAACTCATCAGGAACCTCTATTTCTGAGACATCAGGTGTTTTTTTTTTTCCCCTAATTTTTGAGCCTTTTTTTTTGGTTAGTCTAGCTAAAGGTTTTATCAATTTTCTTCTCTTAAAAAACCAATTCTTCGTAGCCCTTCAAATTTATTTTTATTTCATTTATTGTTGATTTGATATTTATTATTTTTTTCTTTCAGCTAAATCTGGGTTGGGTCTGCTCTCATTTCTCTAGCTCCCTGCACTGGAATCAGTGGGGTGGCTCTGGGGTCAGGATTCTTTCTCCACGAGCTTCTTAGAATCTGTGCCTCTCTCTGTCCTAGTGTGTTTCATGGTTGCTATTCCACAGAAGCCTTTCTGCTCTTTTATAGTCAACTCCCAGGTTCTATTTCCTGCATCCCACACTGCAGTGCACGTGTTCAAGGTCCAGCTCTGCTCCTGATTCCATCTTCCTGCTGGTGTGCATCCTGAGAGGCAGCAGGTGATGGAGAGCTGAGCCTCTGCCATCCATGAGGGAGACCTGGACTGCTTCTGATTCCTGGCTTCAGCCTGGCACAGCCTTGGCTGTTGTGGGCATTTAGGGATTGGACCAGCTGGTCTTCAATCAGCTGTTTGCCTTTTTTTTTTTTTTTTTTAAATAAATGTCTAGGGCCACAAGGAGGCCTATCAACAGGGTACCCCAAATCAAGTGCCCATAGCTGTGATCCAAGGTGGGGGAGAGAAGCAGTCACATGATCTAAAATGGCTACTCAGGTGCGGTGCCTTTACAGAGGCTGTTGATAAGGCAGTTGCCCTTAGAATCGGATAGGGTTGTGGCAGGCACCCTGTTTCTCCAATCCAATGACAAAGTTAACATCTTTGTATCCAGGCTTCCAGACCTTCTGATGATGTGGACACAGTTGTTAGGGCTCCAGGTCTAACAAAGTATGGGGGAGTTTACATTATAAAGGCTTTTGGAGAATAACAACAAATTTTCCAATTACACAGCAGCTAAGGATTCTGGAGCTAATAAAATGGTAGGCAAAACAACTGATCGAGCCCAAGGACCTGAAGATTAAAGATTGCTCATTCATACTTTTCTCAAGCCACTTCTGTCCAGCGATATAAGGTGGGCCTTTCGTGAAGTGCTCCTGTGAGTTAGCTGAAATCTTCTTCCATCCAGTAGTGTCCATTTCTGGCTCCAACTGCTCCAGTCCATGTTTTATACGGTATATGAACCAAATTCTGCATCTGAACACCTGCCTCAACTGAATCCAATATAAAATTGAGTGATTTAAAAGTCTAACTCTGAAAGATTTGGGACTTGGCAGTTAAGATGACAATTGGTTGTGTTCAAATCCATATTGGAGTGTCAGGTTCAAATTCCAGCTGCATTCCTGATTCCAGCTTCCCACTGGTTTGTGTTCTGGGAAGCTGCAGGCGATGGGACAGTTGAGCCCCTGCTGCCCATGAGGGAGACTTGGATTGAGTTTCTGATTCCTGGCTTTGGCCTGGCCAAGACTCAACTGTTGTGGGCATTAGAGGGGTGGACCAGCATATAGGAGATGTCTATTTGTCAATCTATACCTTTTAAATACATTAAAAAAATTATTTAAAAGAGAGAGAGGAACTTATTTCGGTTCAAAGAATTCTGAAATCTATACATACAAGGGGTCTTCAAAGAGTTTATGGAAAATGTTTTATGAAAATAACTATATATGGCTTTCAAAATTGCTTTGCACCAAAATAATTGTATCTTCTAATGCCATTTTCCATGAACTTTTTTGAAATACACTTATACATTGTGGATTAACTACATCTAGCTATTAACACATCCATTACCTCATATGGTTATCACTTTTGTGAATAAGAACACTTGACATCCACTCTCCTAGCCTTTTGCAAGAATATAATACATTGTTTTCAACTATAGCCATTAGGTTGTACAACACAGCTCTTGGGCTCATTCTTCCTACCTCTGCCCAACATCTCATGAATTCCCACTGCCCACCTACCCCAGCCATTGGTGTCTACAATTCTACAGGGTGGGTTTACATGGGTGACAAAATTTGATTTGTATTGAATCATGCAACTTTGTAGAAATAAATCTGAGTGACATTTTACCTTCATTTTTAGCTAGCACACACAAGGGAGTACTTGGTCAAGATTATATACATAATCTGGAGCTTATAAGGGCACCTTAAAGAACATTTATAAAGAGACAAACATATAACTGGTACTTAAAAAAAATCACATCTGAGTTCCAAAGGATAATTAACAGTTAACCTTTATTTTTCCTTAAAAATGAACTTTCTAAAATACTAGTAAATTTCATTCTCAGCTGTGTTTTGAAGTTCCGATACCAGTGTAGTAACATTTTTCTTCTTTGAATCTTTTCATATAAAATTAGATTTTTCTCTTTTTCTAAAATAGCAGGAAGTTCCTTCCAGTCTTTAATAAAGATAAAGGGAGCACCCATGGACTTGAGTAGCTGCAGAGGAGCATTGGTGTGAACAGACGTATTCCCACAGCTGCCAGCTGTCATCACGTCTTCCACCACAGGGATGGAGCCATAAGAGCAAGCCTCGTATATTCTGTAACATTCTGTGTTTACACCTACTGGGCACAATGTGAGGTCACTATGAAGCAAGGCGTCTTGGTACTTCTTAAGACTTTCAAATGTTTCTTGAGGTGGCCACCTACAAAATCAGAAAGACAACTGTAGCTCTCACTTTACTAAGCATATCTTTCATGAAGGAAAAGGTTTTAACTTTTTGGTTCACTCCCAAAATGGTTACGACAGTTGGTATGGACTGGGTCAGGCCAAAGCCAGGAACTAGGAATTTCATTTGGGTGTCCCGTGTAGGTGCAGGGGTCCAAGTACTTGGGAAATTCTCTGGGGCTTTCCCAGGAATGCGAGGCAGGAGCTGGATTGGAAGTGGAGTAGCCAAGACTTACCAGCACTCTATCATGGGATTCAGCATCAAAGGCTGTGGCTTAACCCACTGTGTCACAACACTGGCCCAGGTTTTAACTTTAATGTCAGTTACAGGAACTAGTGGTGAACACACTACAGAAACGATAGGCATAAGATATAATCTAAAATCTTGGCCCAAATAAACATTTTATAGTTGTATATTTAGAAAATCTCCTGGTCACCACAGAATTTCTGAATGACTAACATTAAATCAACTCATATTTTTAGAGTGCCAGGTCCTTCCTTGTCCTCATGCAATTTATCTTCTAGTTCAAGTGATGGAGATGGACAGTAACCAGTAATTAATAATCAGTAAGTTATCTAGAAGGTATTAAATGTATAATGAAAAATAAAGCAGAGAACTGGGGTGGTAATTTCCAGGGGGCAGGGGGTGGGAGGTGGGCAGGGTTGTAGTCTTAAATTTGTGATGAGGAAATGTTTCACTGGGGTAGCCTCTGATCAGAGTTGGAGGTGAATGAGCTATGCACATCTTGTGGGAGAACACAGCGTAGAGCAAGCTAGAATGAAGGCCATGGGACTGCACATGCCTGCATGGTTAGGATCAGCAGTAAAACCAGGCTGGCTGAGGCAGAGAGGGACAGGAGCAGATGATAAGGTCTGAATGGTCACAGGGTTCTGATCAGAGGCTGACATGACCTGAATCAATCTGGCTGTTGAGAATGGACTGCATAGGCGGACAAAGGTAGAAGGTCACAGATCAGTTACAAAGCTAGATATTCTCTCCAGACCATTCCTATCTTCTCAGTGAAATAAGCAATAGGGTTATAGAGTAAGAGAAGTTAGGGAAAGATGTGTTAGAGTGCAAGAGAGAAAACCCATGAAGCAGCCTTCCAGGAGAACAGGAGCACATATGGACAACACATATGGAATGTATGACTGGAGCACATATGAACAGGAGCACATATGGAATGTATGACTGCTGGATCCTGAGGTTCAAGGTCATGTATTTATATCAAGAATTAGTACCTTAAAATTTTTTAAAAAATCTTTAACGATTTATTTATTTAGTTGAGAGGCAGAGTTACAAACAGAGAGAGGGAGAGACAAAGAGAGGTTTTCCATCTGCTGGTTCACTCCCCAGATGGCCACAATGGCCAGAGCTGGGCCAATCTGAAGCCAGGTGCCAGGAGCTTCCGCCAGGTGTCCCATGCCAGTGCAGGGGTCCAAGTACTTGGGACATCCTCTACTACTTTCTCAGGACATCAGTAGAGAGCTGGATAGAATGTGGAGCAACCGGGACTTGAACTGGAGCCCATATGGGATGCCAGCACCGCAGGCAGAGGCTTAACTTACAAAGCCACAGTGCAGGCCCAAAAGTGTTCAGCTACATAAGTGCAGGGATGGAGGAGGCAGACAGCTGGTTTAACCATAATTAGTTAGGGCTGGCTAGATTAGGGAACTGGGGAGTTGAAGGTATATGCAGGTAATGACTGATTGTAAAATTTAGGTTGATTAAGAATAGTGGAGAGAATAGAGTGAAGAATAATTATAGGGCAGTAGGAACAATGGCTTCTAAACCTCAACTGAATTTACTGGAGTCAAATTATTACAGGGAATGATCTGGATGACCTTAAATGGATGCGATATGGGCAATGACAGCGTCTAGGAAATGACCATGATACAGAATGGCTGAACTCAGGCCCAGATTACTGAAGAAAAAAGACAAAGGAACTCATGACCACGGTAATGGAAAGACTACCTGTGTAGATTTGGAAATGATCAAGAATTAAGACCATGCTAGTGTCAAAGTGAGTCTGAAAGTCTGAACTCTTCAAAGAATTAAGGAGATAAATCCAAGGGTCAATTTGTGATTTCAGAGACTAAGGGTAATGGTTGATTTTGTCTGCTGGCATGAGACACAAAATTGGGGGTATTAGGGAAAGAAAGGGGAGAATGGTCTAGAAGCAGCAATGAGAACAACCACTTGACCCCTGACTCACTGGGACAACAGGAGTTATTAGAATTATTCTGTTCCTTTGTTATTTTTACACTGTCCTCATTCATTTCACTGTAGAGGTAATGACTGCTATTTTCCTCTAACATGCTAAGTACAATCTTCATTCAAGGTCTTTGCACTTGTTCTCTTGGCCTGGCCCACTCTTCTCCCAAATATACCCCTTGTATCTCATTCAGGCCTATGCTTAAATATAACTCTGTAACAATGACTTCCTTGGTTGTTTGAAAACAGAAATGCTCCACCCCAAGTCCCCAGCCATCTTAATTTCTTCTGCTTAATTGTTCACAGGGCATGCACCATTTTGGACATATAATATACTTTACTTGTTTGTCTCCTCCAATAAGCATTTAAATGTCAGGAGGGCATGGATTCTTTGTTCACTGCTGCATTTATCCAGGATAAAACAATTTCTGGCTTTTGGAAGTTGCTCGGCAAATGCTGACTGGATGAATATAATCGGGTTATACTAACAATATAGCTATCAGCATTCCGAAAGAGGTATCTACTGTGATTAAAAATCTATTTCTAGATCTAGAGGGATATTTTTAAGGCATCGTTTCTGCTTTTTATGTCATTTGTTTATTTTAAAACTTTGCAGGGGTGGGTGTTGTGGTGCAGTGAGTTAAGCTGCTGCTTGGGACGCCTGCATCCCACATGGGATGGTCTGGCTCACGTCCCAACTGCTCAGCTTCCAATGTAGCTCCCAGATCATGTGCTTGGAAAGCAGCAGATGATGGCTCAGGTACTTGAGTCCCTGCCATCCACATGGGAGACCTGGATGGAGTTCCTGGTTCCTGGCTTTGGCCTTGCAGAATTCTAGATTTTGGAGGTGTTTAGAAAGTGAACCAGCAGATGTAAGATCCCTCCCTCTCTCTCTCTTATAAATAAATTCAAATAAATATTTTAAAATAAATATTTAAAAAAATGCCTTTAGCTTATTCAAAAACAAGATAAATGTTTCTTTCCAGTTAGTTCTTTTACTCCATGAGCATCTGTTTTATGACTATGTAGAAATGAAAAAAAGTTTGCCCTATTAAGTCTATTAGTTCATTTTCCATCCATCTACCCATCCACCCACTCACCAATTAGGTTGCCCTGTGCAAGCTGGTCTTGTGTACATCTGGGGAACACACAGCCCTGTCCTTACGAGAGTGTCAGGTTCCTGAATATTTGAGGAGTACTGCAGGCAAGTTGTGGAACACTAAACTGCTCTGCTGAACATCTCATGGACAAACTGAAGAACCTGGTGACATTTACGATCTCCTGTGTGCCAAGTTGGACCAATAAATATCACTGAGAAAACCCTAACATGATATTTGCAAATGACAGTTACTAGTGTTGCTCTTCTAGATGAATTAGAGCCATAGGAGATTCTCCCTATTTTAAACATATACAACCGAGTAGTCTCATTACAACTTTAATTACTAATGAATTTTTTGGGGGAATGACTGTACAGTGGAGTTAACAATGATTCTTTGGAAACTTCTGTGATTCCACATAAAGCAACCCTCAGACTGGAGAATAAAATGGATGATTCAAGTAAACATAGAACTTACTGTTCTCTTGTTGAAACCCAGCAACGTTTACTGTACTCATCTTGTTTCAAAATGTCCATTAGTGCCTGTCGAGATGAATTTTCATAAATTGTTCCTAAGAAATTACATAAGTAACGCCTCTCTTCATACACAATTGACCAACTGGTCTCCACCAAAGGAAAATTCCGGTATCTATAAAAATAAATACATCTGAGTTAATGTATGACATAGTTGTGGGCAAAATCCCCATACCTCAACCTCTTGGGTAGCATGATGTGTGGAGAAGAGACAATGTATGATTTATAAATTTCAAATTGTTATTTCTACCCTTGATTTGTTTATATATTTTTGAAAGATTTTTTTTATTTACTTAGAAGGCAGAGAGAGAGAGAGGAAGAGAGAGACAGAGAAAAAGAGAGATTGAGAGAGAAGTCTTCCATCCACTGGTTCACTCCCCAAATGGCCAGAGCCAGGAGTCAGGAGCTTCTTCAGGGTCTCCCACATGGGCCCAAGCACTTGGGCCATCTTCTGTAGCTTTCCCAGATACATTAGCAGTGAGCCAGATCAGAAGTAGAGCAGCCAGGATTGGCACTGACGCCCATACAGGATGCTGGCATTGAAGGCTGCAGCTTTACCTTTTACACCTCAAAGCCAGATCCTCTACCCTTACTTTGAAAATGTCCCTAGACCTACTGACTTAAAAAAAATTTCACACTGACATCTCTTTGAAGAGGTCATAGAGATTTTGGACCTAACATTTTCGGCATCCTTTAGCTCAATTTAATCATTCCACATTTTAATCATGTATCAAACATATTACATTGTACTCCAAAAGCATATACAATTCTTTGTCCATCAAAAACTAAAAGTGTCCACATTGCCAAAAGGCTCTTGGAGGACAAAACTGCCCTCGATTGAGCACCACTGACCATAAGAAATATACTGGCCTAGAGTTAGATTATGTAGTGTTACCGTGAAAAAGTAAAATGGTTCAAAATATTTTACAAATATGGGCTCTTCTTCAGGGATAGGTTTTACAGAGGGTCTTAAATCAATTTACTACTAAAGAAAGACTCTGTGTTATTAAGTAGACCCCTCCATTTATAGAACAGATTTGCACAAATTCAGTTCCAAATCCAAGGGGACAGTGTGCTCATGCTATATAATCCTGTTTTTATTTATGTTAATTTTTTTGAGTCCTAACTTATACCAAACCCATTACTTTTTTTTTTTTTTTTTTTTTTTTTTAAGAAAGTCTGCCATTCTCTGCTAAATCTCTCTCCAGGGCACTCCTATTAAGCTTGAAAACACATCCTACGTCTTGAGACTTTAAAACAAACAAAAGTTTATTCATTTTCTCTCATAAATGGATCAGATACTCTAAAAACATGATTACTGTTACTGAAGTAAAGATCATTCCTTATTTTTTTCTCTGGGAAACACCGTAACAGGCCTCAATGATCCCAGAAGAACTAAATACACTACAATTTAAAACACAAACTACCTGATTCAGAAATTGAAGACATAAGAGTCTACAGACATGTAATCTTATTTTCTACTCACGTTGCTACTCCTAAAGGCCACTGGAAAACATCCACGTTATTAATCCAGGGACTGTCATAGGTCAGGAAAAGCAGTTCCACAGGGCCTCCATTTCTCTTGAGGAACTGGGTTATCCAGTCATTTTCACAATATTCATTGCCAAGCAAAACAACTGCAAGATGCTGGAGTTTTTGAGTTTGCACTAAATTTTGTGCATAAAGTAACCACTGGGTGGCATAAAAGACCTTTGTTTTTTCTCTTCCGTTTAAAACAAGTACCACATTATTCACATCAATGGAGAAGTACCCTGGGGCTACTGCTGGCCCAGTGATGAAGCTGTTAAAAAAAAAGAGAGAGAAATGTAAAACAGAATAAAGGTATTTAGCATCAGACTGTTTTAAAATCATTTTACACAAAACTCTATACTGAGATTTAATCAATATTATTCCTAGAACTGAGACTCTGTAACACAGGTTTTGCCAACAATTCTGGATGCTGACACATGGCTGTAGAGTAATGGAAGCTTTAGTTGCAGACAGATCAGTGTGCAAATGATAACTGGAAACAAAGGAGGCTATTTAAAAAAATTTTAACCATATTTTAACACTTCATGAAGGTCAGGTCTTCAAAACACAATGTTGAAAAAAAAATCACACCTCAGAACACTCACAAAATATGACAATTACATGAAAATTTGAAAAAAAATTATGCTCATACCTTTCTCTGAAGGGAGGAGAGAACCTCCACTTTGACTATGACCTTGTCTAAACAAGATAAGAGTCGGAGAACTCAGAGGGCTTCCATAGCCTTGGAAACTCATGACTAGAGCATAGGGAGATTACTGATGCCATAGACAGGAGTGTCAATTGGTAAAGTCAACAACATGAGTCACTGTGCACTTACTCCTCATGTAGGATCTCTATCCTTAATGTGCTGTACATCGAGATTTAATGCTATAACGAGTACTCAAACAATATATTTCACTTTGTGTTTCTATGGGGGTGCAGATGAAAGGGGTTGGAGAACAATATCAAGACTCATGTTTGGTGGAATCATTTAATTCTTTTAAGAGGAAAGTTAAATGTCTGAAGCAAACATGAGGGAAAACTAGACTTTCAGATGGGTATATGGGAATTTGTTCTATTATTTTTTAACTCTGTTTAAAAAAGTTTTCATACAATGAATAGATGACTCAGATTTTCATGTTATGCACTGTCTAGAACAACACTTAAGTATTTTCAACTAATACATACTAAACATAAAAAAATCCTATTTAATTCATCTTAAAATTAGTCACACTGGTACTAGATTCTTCACATCCTGCTTAAACCATTTATTTATAACTCTTGGAATTTAAAAACCTCTTGCAAAAAATATGCCCAAAGCTTGCTTTTATTGCTTACTACTGTTAAGAATAGAAACTAATATTTGTTAAATGATTTGCTATCCTTAACATATGAGCCCTTGGCAGGTGTTACCACTTAACTATAACAACAACTCTGCAGGATACATTACTTCTCCATGTTGAATTTGGGAAACCAGGCATTAGTATTTGATAAAACACAACATCCTTTCATGATGAAAACTCTAATTGGGTACAGAAGGAACATTCCTCAATATGGTCAAGGCAATTTATGACAAACCACGGCCAGCGTCCTATTGAATGGGAAAAAGTTGGAAGCATTCCAAATGAGATCTGAAATCAGACAAGGATGCCACTCTCACCACTGCTATTCAATATAGACCTGGAAGATTTAGCCATAGCCATTAGGCAAGAAAAAGAAATCAAAGGACTTCTAAAATTCATAATAACTGCAAAAAATTTAAATACCTGGACTAAATTTAATCAAGGAGGTGAAAGATCTCTACAATAAAAATTACAAAATATTAAAGAAACAGAAGACACACAAAAAATGCAAATATTTTCATAGATTGGAACAATTAATATCATATTATCAAAATATCTATACTACTGAAAGCAATTTACAGATTCAATGTGATCCCAATCAAAATATCAACAACATTCTTCTCAGATCTAGGAAAAATGATGCTAAAATTCATATGGAAAAACAAGATACCCCCAACTAACTAAAGTAATCTTAAACAACAAAAACAAAGCTGGAGGCATCACAATACCTCATTTCAAGACATACTACAGGGCAGTTAGAATCAAAACAGTCTTGTTCTGATACAAAAAAATAGACACGTAGATCAATGGAACAGAATAGAAACCCCAGAAATCAATCTACATATTTACAACCAACTAATCTTTGACAAAGAAGCTAAAATCAATTCTTGGAGAAAGGACAGTCTCTTCAACAAATGGTGCTGGGAAAATTGGATCTCTGTGTATGAAAGTATGAAACAAGAATCCTATCACACACTTGATACAAAATCAACTCAAAATGGATCAAGGATCTAAATCTATGACCTGATACCATCAAGTTACTAGAGGAGAACATTGGAAACTAGACCTATACCTTACATCTTACACAAAAATCCACTCTAAATGGATCAAAGACCTCAATCTATGACCTGATACCATCAAATTACTAGAGAACATTGGGAAAACTCTGCAAGACATTGGCTTAGGCAAAGACTTAGAAAAGACCCCCAGAAAAACAGATAAATGGGATTACATCAAGCTAAGAAGCTTCTGCACTGCAAACACTTAACAAAATCAAGAAGCCACTGACAGAATGGGAGAAAATATTTACAAACTATGCAGTTGATAAAGGATTAATAACCAGAATTTACAAAAAGCTCAAGAAACTCAACAACAACAAAGCAAATGATCCAGTTAAGAAATGAGCAAAGGACTTGAAGAGGCATTTTTTCAAAAGAGGAAATTCAAATGGCCAACAGAAACATGAAAAAATGCTCAGGATCAGTAGACAGCAGGGAAAATAAAAAATAAAAACTATTCTCCTACTAGTTTGGTTTGCTGTTGTCTTTCTAGATCCTTGAGATGCACTGATAACTCATTTATTTGGTGCCTTTCCAATTTCTTGATGTAGGTACCAGTTGCTATAAATTTTCCTCTTAGCAGTGCTTTTGCTGTATCCCGTAAGTTATGATATATTGTACTGTCATCTTCATTTGTTTCCAGAAATATCTGATTTCTCTTTTGATTTCTTCTATGACCCACTGTTCATTCAAGAGCATGTGTTCAGTGTCCATGTGTTTGCATATGTTCTAGAGAATCCTGTGTTGCTGATTTCCAGCTTCATTCCATTGCAGTCTGATGCAAGACATGATTTCGACGTTTTTGAATGTGCTGAGACTTGCTTTATGGCCTAGCCTGTTGTCAACCCTAGAGAAAAATATGTGTACTGCTCAGAATGTGTATTCTGTATATGTAGGATAAAAAGCTCTGTAGATATGTGTTATGTCCATTTTGTTGATAGTGTCAATTAACTGCTGTTTCCTTGCTAATTTCCTGTCTGGTTGATCTGTCCATTGCAGAAAGTTGGGTACTGAAATCTGCCATTAGTATTGTATTTGAGTCTATGTCTCTCTTTAGATCCCTTAACATTTCTTTTAAATAGCTAGGTGACCTCTAATTAGGTGCATATACATTTATTATACTCACATTTTCATTTTGAACTAATCCTTAATGATTACATAGTGCCCTTCTGTTTTAACAGCTTTTGTGTTAAAGTCTATTTTTTTTTCTGATAATTAGGGTGGCTACACCAGCTCTTTTTTGGTTTCTGTTAGCATGGAATATCTTTTTCCATCCTTTCACTTTCAGTCTGCATGCATCTTTGTTGGTAAGATGTGTTTCTTGCAGGCAGCAAATAGATGAGTGTTGTTTTATAATCCATTCAGCCATTCTGTATCTTTTAACTGGAGAGTTGAGGTCATTCACATTCAAAGTGACTATTGACAAATAACCTCTTTGCCTTGCCATTTTTCTTATAAATATCCTATTTTTTACTTTGGATTGCCTTTGAATTTTTACTGGGAGATTTCCTTCCTTTACCTTCTTCCATAGTGATGACCATGTTTCTGTGTTTCTGTGTGCTGCCACATCTTTAAGCATCTTCTACAGGTCTGGACGTGTGGTAACAAATTCTTTCAATTTCTGTTTGTCATGGAAGGTCTTTATTTCAATTTTATTCATAAATGAGAGCTTTGCAGGGTACAGTATTCTGGGTTGACAGTTCTTTTCTCTTAAGACTTGTAATATATCTCACCATTCTCTCCTAGCCTTCAGTTTCTGATGAGACATCCACTGTGAGTCCACTTGGAGATCCTCTGAAAGTAATCTGGTGTTTCTCTCATGTACATTTGAGAATCTTTTCTTAATGTTTTCCTGTGGTGAGTCTGATTACAATATGTTGTGGTGAAGGTTTTTTCTGGTCATGTCTATTAGGAGTTCTATGTGCTTCCTATACTGGGTGGCCCTTTATTTCTCCAAATTAGGGAAGTTTTCTGTTATTCTGTTTATTTATTTTCAAAAAGGAAAAAAAAAAGGAAAGTTTTATAGCAAATAAAGTACAATTCATTTTAAAAAATTATTTTTAAGGTAAATAACCTAATTAATTATCTTCCAGGGGACCCTAGAAGGAGCAAGAACCAAACCCAAAATCCCAAAATTAACAAAATGAAAAGAAAATAATTAAGGCTGTGGGGGAGCAACCTGAGATTAGGCCTAAGTTACCGGAATTAAAGACCTTTTTCTTAGCATTCTGCTCTTCCCACAATATGGCGCCTGGGGGAGGGAGTAAACTTCTACGCAGCTGCCTCTCGCCAATTTGACTGATAAGCCGCAGGAGCTGATCCTGCTCCTGATTGGAGGAGAACAGCATGCTCGGCGTGTGGGCAGCAGTTGGGATTGATGGAAGAGGATTATAAAGGAGGAGAGAGACAACATGCACGAGGAACATCCAGATAACACCTGAGCAGCCCCTGAGAGAGCCGGCCGGCAGTGTGCCGCTCCCCCGCGGAAGCGGGGAAAGTGGCAGGGGGAGCCGCCCCTCCACGGAGGTGGAGGGGTCGGCAGCCAACCCGGGAAGGACCAGCAGCAAACCCGGGAAGGGCCGAGCAGACGAAAGAACAGCGCAGGGTCCGGTGTCGTTCCTCTGTGAAGAGGGGGAGCAACAAAGACCAAAGTAGAAATAAATAAAATAGAAATTACAAAAAAATTCAAAACATCAGTGAAAGAAATAGTTGGTTTTTGAAAGGTTAAAAAATCTTCAGCTAAATTAAAGAAAAAATATTCAAATAAATAAAATCAGAAAAAGAGACATTAGAACTGATACCACAGAAATATAAAAGATCATTAGGGACTATTATGAACAACCTGTGAGACAACAAATCTGAAAATAGAG